CCTGTAGAAACATAGGAAATCAATGTTTTTTCTCAAATTTCTTCAAGTAGAAGAACAGTTTTAAGCAACTGCATGTAAGAAGAGAAATAGCATATGGAATATATTGTGGGGGATGGAAAAAGGAGAGGGAAATTACATTTTTTTGGAATATTTTTCCCAAAACATTTCTTTCATTTGACAGGTTATATGCCTTATAATACTTTCTTCCTAAAGCAATTTGCTTGGGCTAAACTCAAAGCAAAATACTCTTTCCTCTCAATGTTTGTGACACAAGGTACAATGATGAATTAAGTGTTTTGTAGATGAGAAGTACGAAGCACGAAGGGAAATGGTTCCCAAAGTAAAAACAGAACTGGGGAGGGGAATATCATTAAAAGACAAAAATAAATTTATCAGCTTACACAATACTTTTTATTCAGAAAATATAATTACGTTTATTTTTTATTATGCATTTTATACTAAGTTGATTCTAGTCAATGCTGTAAAAGTATATGTTAACTGTTTAATTGTGTGACAAAACTGTAATATTCTGTTTAGTCTATCTTAATTATTTACTGAAACTAAAGCATATTTTTCACATATCTTAGGCATTGTAGATTCTATCAAACATAGCACCATAGTTAACTTGAATTTAAACACTTGTCTGCTGCAAACTGCAAAGGTAAGCAGAACACTTACAGAATACCCACCTTAAAAAACTGCTAAATAGTCACCTGTAAAATATGTACCTAAAAAGTGTCATCACATATCAACTATATTGCAAACTGGGCCAAAACTTGGTCATCTTGTACTTGAAGACTCAAGAGTCTAACAAAGAAATAGAAACACAGTCAAGTTATATTCTAACTGTCTTAATGAACATATTTGGGAACCATCAAACATATTATTTGCCTTTAAGGATCCACTTCACAACCTCATTTTATTGGAAAGGAGAAATGCTGCCATAGCAGCTACTATACTAGCTCATCCACTCTTAAATGAGCTTGTAAAAGAGAAAAGACAGCAAGGGAACAAATTATAGAACTAGGAATATTGACATTCTCTTACAGTATCTAAAACTCGACCTTGCTTTATCTTTAAAAGGTCTCTCTCATTACCCATATCTAGTTCACCACAAAAAATCCACAGACACTAGGTGGAATAGGAAGGAATGAACTTGTAACAACCACCTGGTTAAGTTTCATCAACAACTGTATCATAATTATAGCCATTAAGTTACCCAGCTAAGGAAAAGTAATTAAAAAATAAATTGGTCTACAAAATCAATTTAGTTAAGTGGAGAAGGGTTTTCTCCAGCTCTACATTGAGCTCCTAAATCTAGATCTCCTCTATTTGAAAAAAGGAAAAGAGACAGCTTGTACAAAAGCTTCTGGAGATAACCCTTTCATTTGGGTGCATTGTAGTAACTGAGTCCTGCATCTCACAAAACCTTTAAAATATTTTAGGACTTCACCCTTCTATTGCAATAAAAGCCAATCAGGTGAAATACCACCCAATCTGTGTCTCAGCTAGAATACTACACGTTAGTGCGCAACAGTGCACTGGCTTTGCACCTAAGCTAGGTACTCTTTGTGTCAGGTGGAAAAGTTCAAAAGAGCAACTGGTACAAAGATAATAATGAAATTAACCCATCCATCTTCCACCGGCTTCATTCACATTGAACATTCACATGATGCAAAAACAGAAGTTACAGCACACCATACCAGTCACAACCATAAAATAAGAAGTTCAACTAAATTCAGACAAGGAATTAAGAAGTTTTCTAGTTTTGTCTGGACAGAGCTATAATCTGTTCTTCCATTTACACTGAAATTCTGTGAGATTATTCAATTGTTCAGTTCATCAGACTGCTTGGGGGCAGATCAAGAGAGACAACACAGTGGCACACATCTTAAGTCCTACAAAGTTGGGGTTTTTTGTTTGGTTTTTTTTTCACTAGGTTCCCAATTCAGCCAGTATGTTTCAGAGAAGAGGCTCAGCATATAATTTTCTGTCATTCAAAGGACAGAGGATAAATAAACATGTTTTGAAGAGATACAAATCCCAAACAGTTATGCAAATAACAACAGCCTTCTGTTGTTGAGTTAGCCATGCGACATTAACTTTTTCCTCCTATGTCCTTTGTCCCATTTATTAATTGCAGCTTTTGATTACTACCATGACATAATCAGCACTCCAAAGACAGGAAAGGGTCTATTTTTCTGTGAAATGTCTAGCATATTCAACAATCAGAACATAAATTCTCCTTTCTCTGCTTCTGCCCAGCAGTCTGATAACAGAGTTACTTAGCAACAGACGAAGCAATTGAACTGTGCTGCCTGATCCATACACATTTTACTGCAAAGTAACACTCACAAAGGCATTATTTAGCTGATGGTTGCCTCTGCCTAGATGTGTTTTTGAAGTGTAAAATCCATTAGTGTGAGGCAAGCCTATATGAAAACTCAACCATCATGTACTATCTGTAATGCACTACACATTTTGAAATTAACAGAAATTGCCTGTAAGAGTCACACACATGATTTTAAGTACTCTTAAAATCTCTTAAAAAGAGAAAGGAATAAACAAGAAAATGCAAAGTATAAGACTATTTATATTATTTACATGGATGCTACAGCAGTTGCTTAGAAGGGGAGGATAGGAGTCCTCTTTCCAGCATACTGACAATGTACGAACTTTAAATACACAGACCAAGCCCTTGTACGTCAAGTACAATTTTCTTGCCACAAAATATTTTGATTTCAGAGAATGAATACTTATTCATTCTGAAAATACACACACACACCAACACATATCTTCCCAAACCACCTTCTTCACCAGTGGAGCAGGAAGTAATATGTGCCACACCAAATATTAAGGAGATTTTTTAGAAGGGAGAAAAGTAACCCACAGAACTTGACAAACCATTTGCCAACCATGACTCCCTTTAAAGGCAATTCCACAACTAAACAATCCCTTTGTTTTTTTTATTTATTTTGGCATGTAAAAGTTTCTATTTTACAACTGCAGGAGAACTTCTTAAAAGTTGTCTTGGTTCATCATACAAAACTACACTGCCAGCAAGACCTTAAAGTCTCTTGTCCCTAGCAAAGGAAAAGCACAGCAGCTTCTTCAGCTTCATCATCTAATGGCATTGTTCAAGAGTTATTTTATTCTAAGGATTCAACACCCTGGAGTTCATAACAGCTTCAAAACTTATTTAATTTATACATATGACGATCTATGAATCTGAATTTTAATTTTACAGCGCAATACCAAGTTTACCCCATGACTTTTTCTTCCCCCTGAAAAATTAAAGATGGGCAGGAATTTAAGTACAATTAGATACTAAAAAAAGAAAGTAAATTCTTGAAACACTAGGCAAAAATTCATTTTTGGTAAGTCACTACACAAATTACCAGAAGGGGCAAAATTAAGAGAAATCTCCTATTTATTTGACAGCAAATATTTTTGTCTTATTTGCAATTAAAAATCAGTGTTATGTTTTCAACAATGAAGCAACCAAGTAGAGTGCAAGTTAAAAGCACATTTCACGACTGCCTTAAAAAGGATTAAAATACTTCCTATATTCCATTTCAACTAGGAACTTCGATGGTATTTCAGATACTAAAACCACAAAGTCTTTAAGTGCTAATAACTGCAACAACAACTTCTTAGGTTACCTTTCACACTATAAAGATAGTAAAAACTTCAATGATGAGAACTCTAAGATGCATTGACAAGGAAAGCTCAGTTAATAGCTTGCCTCCAAATTTTTCAGTGATCAAGTACTTATGCAGACATTTAAACACACTACTTTCTTAATTACAATTAAGCCATCTGTTACATGCAACTATGTAAATCTTGAAGGTTTTCCTCTTCCTTTCAAAGACAGGGTTAATTAATTTTAAAAAGTGGGTTAATTAATTTTAATTAATCCACCTTTCTCTTTCCAGAGAAGGAGGGAAGATGTTTTTCCTTCCAGACTTCTCAGATCATTTATTTTTCTTTTTAATAATTAAAGGTTTTTATGTATTAAGGTAAGAAGGACTAACTTTGACCGTATTCAAGATTATGTTTCAATACAAGAGGAGGGGCGTGCCCTTTTTCTGCATTTAAACTACAGACAAATCAGTTTAGGTCTCTATCTCCTATTTTTCAACTGTCTACAGCTCTGATCAAAACCAATAACTGGCTACCTTTTTCCTTCTTTGTTGATTTGAGAATGGTTTATATTTAAAAAAAATCTTGAGCATTACAATTTCTTTGTATTTTTGAAGCTAAATATAAAATGATTCTTGAATACAAGGTATGCTGTTTTCTTACAAACACAATTTATTTTTTCCAATTCAGCCCTTTTGAAACAAAGGTTATAACCACAATGTTAGCTAACAGTTAAAAATTCAACTTCAAGCAAGTTTTACTTTCTTGCAAGAAATAAATGTTTCAAAATAAAATGAAACTTAGAAAAACCTTAAGTCAGTGTTCTGCTATACCATTTGCAAGCCACTCTATCTACATTAGAAACCATCATTTCAAGACTGCTTAGAATTAGGACACAAGATTGCTTTGTTACTCCCTCTACTAGCATAGGCACACTACTCCATCCTGATGAGAAAGTGACATATTTCAACAAAATATTATCAGAGTGTATCACTTGTAGTGAAGAACCCAAGCTCCAAAAATCTTCTAGCTGTTTGCACTTTTTACTGCACTTGTAGAAACAAAATAAACATTCTATATGAACTGTTTTCCTATACAAACCACACACCTCCCAAACAATTACTCATGAAATATCATGTTAAAAACAAGAAGTTAATACATTTAGCTTAACTTATATTTTGCATCATCTTCTGTGCCATCTCTGCAAAACTGCAATTTTCACAGCCAGAAACATTTTTAAGCAATCCACTTACAAAAAGCAGCCATTCTAAAGAAAATTTTTAAAATATAAAGAGCAAGAGAAAGCTTTGACAATCAAAAAATGCCTTGGGAAGAACAAAATCATGATATGTACTTACTAATTTGTTTTCTTGCATATATATTCTTTGCAGCTTCAAACAGCCTTTAGCTATAATGATCATTCCTTCATCTGAGATCTTGTAACATTGCCCAAAATGTATGTCTTTCAATTCCCTGCATTTTGAGCCGAGCTGCAATTAATGAAATCATAGTGAAAAAAACAACAACAGAATTTGACTGAAATGAAGAGATGGGAGAAAAGATTTTTTTCTGCTTCTCCACCCCCCATTAAAAATTATCTTTCTTTTCAGGCTTTGAAACACTGTATGCAAACTAGAAAGATTCTAATTACATACATAACAAAATAAAGTTGCTAACTACAGTCAACTAAATGGAGCTATCAGCACCACATAAGAACTAAGTTATTTACTGTGTGTACAGGTAGTTAACAATGCCTTTATGCTCAACAGCTTATTTGATTTGCTCTAACTCCTAAATGCTCCTTTAACACTCTCTGAGAGTTGATGAAAGCCCCTTGCACATCCAACAAATAAAGATCTTAGTCACCTTCAACATTCACGAAGCAAAAACAGTTACTTAAACACAGGTTTTGAATAGCAACCAAGCTCAGGAAAATTGAATCCAACAGAAGTGAAGTATAGGATGTCAAACCGCACATTTAACTACAAAAGTGATCATTCAATCCCTGGGTATTAAAAAGAATAAAAAAGTAGATGCAGTCTCTAGAAAACAGCATTTATTGTACCAAAAAAAAGTCTCCATACACCAACTTTTAAAATAGAAGATTTTTCGTCATTTTAATTAAATCCTATGAAAGGGTATCTTCTTCTTCTTGCTAAACTGAAATATGCTAAGTTTTCAGAAGGAGTCTGTGGAATGGATGGTTACCTGCTTCAGTCCTTCATCAGTGAGTCTGTCTTGATTGCCCACATGCACTTTCTGAAGAAGAGGACACTGAGAGGCAACTGCAATAATAGAGGTGTCAGAAAGCTGTTTACACCTGTAGGCAGTATATCTTAAGAGCCCAGGACATTTAATTGCTAATATGCATACTCCTGTATCAGATACATTGCGGCAATCAGAAATATTGATTTCAGTAATATTCTGGCTTCTTGATGCTATTTTTTCCAACAGCTCATCAGTGACCTGCAAAGAAAAAACAAATACTCACATATAACTTCTTCCATAAAAATCTTTAATGTCACTAGGACAAAAATGGCTGTTTGTAAGATGCATCTCCATGAGCATAGGAAAAATGAAACTACACCTCCTTTACAAATACTACCTATGGCTGAATATTTTACCGCAACTGGTTTGTTTCAGAGGGGTGGGGCGGGCTGATGGTTTTGATAGAATATGATCAATTGGGGGAAAGCCAGTTCTGACATACTATGTAGGCTCTAGGTAGATGGCTTCATGATAAAGCTTACAGAGGGAGAGGCAACAGCAAGACAAGTACAGAAAATATGGGCAGCTGCAGGAATTTATGTCACCACAAAAAGAATCCCAAATGGCTGCCCAGCTTGACAGAAGTTCTCAAGTACCAGACTGAGCTCCAGAGTTAGAAGGGTAACCACAGACCTACTTCTCTTTCTAGCCATGAACAGACTATCTGTGATGTCCAGGTATTTAGAAAGATAAATTACTTGTTGGTAGATTTGCCTTATTAAAGTTTAGGGCTTGATGTGCCTCAGTGACCTCAGCTCCTAGGAAAGGTTAAAGCTTGGAGAGAGTAATGTACTACTGACAGTGGTCACAAAGAATGCAGAATTCATAGACCACAATGACATTTGGCAGAACTTCTTAGATAAGGAAGAAACTAACAAAGCAAACTCAGCAACTGTGTTGAATCAACTCCAACTGAGTTGTTGGAGTAAAAGGCAATTCTGGCAAGGAGATACAGCAAACAACCACAGACCACCAACCCAAAAAGCCAGAAAGACTGAGTATGTGGACTAATTAGCATAAGAAGTGCAGGAGTCATTTAACCAACAGAAGGTACAATATCAACTAATAACAGAACTATGTAACTTGCAGCCACCAAACATTACTGCCTTTGTTTATTGAAATATATGTGATTTCATACTGATAATCATTTGTGCCCTATGGCAATTGTGTTAGCCTTCATTCTATTATATTTCTTCCTTGTAGTAATGCTGTATGAAAGGGCAGTGTTTCAATGCCTTAAAACTTTTCTTTTTTTCATTTTAATATACTAGCAGGTATGCTCCATTTAATCAAAGGGAGAACTGTTGAGGAATACAGTCAGCGCAAATAGCTCAGGGTGTAGCTGAGCTCTAGGTGGCACAGCCAGCAGCAAAAGGCCATGAACTGGTGCCAGCCCTTTGTACAACAAAGGCCACAAGAGACCTGTGGCACAGCCAGGTGAGGGACACTCTGAAATACAGCAGGAGCCAAGAGGCCCCAGATGTACCCATGCACAGACTGTGAGGGTATAAAAGCACAGGGACCCTTTGTCGGGTCCCTCCTCCTCCAGCCTGAGGTGTTATTCTACTGTTGCACAACGATTACATTGTTTTAAGGACCCTGAGACTCTGCTCTGGGAAATCTGAAGGCAGTAAGGAAAGTGGTCTGACTGTGTGGGGTGTGCAGGGAGCCAAGCAGGGCATCCATCACCTCCTTGGGGCCACTGCCGCAGAGGGGCTTCGGTCCCAAGCAGATGTGCCAGTGTGGCTGACAGAGCAGCCCCTGGGTGGTCAGACAGCAAAGTTTCCTTATCACCTTTGTAAAGAAACATTCCATCCATTTTGTATCTATACACATTGTAGTCAGCAAAATGAATAATTTTAAAAGAAGACAATCCTACAAAGGACCATTCAGAAATATTTACCCATGACTTGGCATAGACAAGATTTAGCTTTACCCAAAGAGGGTAAGAGAGTTACATGAATCCCTTTAGATTTTTACCTTATACAGCTGAGGAGCAGAATTTGTTGCATTCAATATGGTTTTCATTTGTAGCAAGTCAGATCTTTTTTCTTGCTCTTTCATCAGGCAGGTGTTAAAATTTAAAAGAACTGGGCTAGTTTTGCCTAGGGTAGAATTTTCTTTATAGTGACTAGTATGCAACTATGTTTTGGATTTGTACTGGCTTTCTTATTGCTGAACAGGGATTGCACAGAGCCAAGGCTTTTTCTGCTTTTCACTTGGCCACACTAGCAAAGAGGCTGGGAGGTTGGGAGGGAACACAGCCAGGACAGGTGACCCCCATCTGATCAAAGGGATATTCCAGACCATGTGGCATCACAGTCAGTGTATAAGTCAGTCAGTCAGTGAGGAGAAGAAGGAGGAAGGGGCGGGGGATGTTGAGGGGACATTTCCACTGATAGGGTCTGTCTTCTCAAGTCATTGAGAAGTGTCTTCTCAAGTGTGATGGGGCCTTGCTCTGCTGGGGATGCCTGCCAGCTGATAGGAAGCAGTGAATTAATTCTTTGCCTTGTTCTTAATTCTTATTTTATTATTATGCGTGTGTAATTTTGCTTTCATTATTAAACTCTTTAAACTCATTAATTATGTAGCTTTTATTCTTCCAGTTCTCTCTTCAACCCTACTGGTGGGGGAGTGAGGAAGGGGCTGCCCGGGCCTTGACTGCGGTCTGGGATTTAAACCACAACAAAGACAAATTGCAAAGAAAAAAAAATCCTTCTTCAAATGCAACCGTCCAGTTGTTATTTCTCTGCACTCTGTATTTTCATTAAACGCTCAAGGTGCAGTTTATAAACCCCACAAGTCAGTATTCAACAAGAAACCCAAGGGCAGTGGCCAAAGAGTACTGGCGTCCCTAAAGCTTTCCAATGAGGGAAGTTACCCTGTACAACTTAAGGCTAGGCTCCTAGAGATCTCACTAAATTAAACCCACAAATATTTAATTGTAGGATCAGCTAAAAACCAAAAAGACCCAAAATACTGAAAACAAAAAAACAAACACAGTCTCATTTCTAATGAGTAGGAGCCATACCAGCTGAAGAATACAATAAAGAAAATTTGTTAAAACAAACAGAGCAAACACTACATATGTGACCACTCTTCCAACTAGAGCATTCCCAGAAATGCTCACGTTTGTCTTTAAGACATCTCATCTCACAGCTCCAGACTACCTGATGCAGAATTGAGACAGATAACCCACAACGCATTTCAAATAGCACTTGTGCTCACACTGTTTCATAACTGATCTCAGACAAAATATACTATATTTAAAGGAAGCCATCCCATCCAGATATTTTCAGCGAATAACAGAAAAATCTGTGCAACTATACATATCACCATTTTATGTATTTCTTTTGTTTACCCCTGGTCAAAAGTACAAGTTCCAAGAACAAATTCTGAGTCATGAAGACAATTATTCCACAATGATATTTTCATACCTGCTGACGACTACTGAGATCCAGTTGCTTCCAAAACTGAAAATCTAAACAGAGATCACGCCAATATTTACAGACTAATGACACTGAAAGGCAACGTTCATTCAGAGATAAGTTGGAAAATATCTGTAAAGAAAGAAAAAATAAATTTGTCACATGTAATCATATTTTAGAGACAGAAATATTTTATTATCAATACATCTTGTAAAAGACAGAAAAGTATTAGCATGAATTATAATACACAATTTACAACTTGCCCCCTCCTTGATTAGTCAGAAACAATAACAACAAAACCTACATCCCAGAAGAATTGACAATATTAGTAAATCATATTAGCATAACCAACAATAGAATATATCCTAAGTACTCATTTCATAGGCTAAGTTTCAGAAGTGCTTCTGAGATGGCACACCTAAAGAATTACAAATTAGCTCAGTGTTATTTGCAAGCCATTTAAAAAGTGCTTTCATTCCTATCCTGGAAGGGATGGGAAACCTTTCTTTTTATTTTCTAACTGAACTGGTAAGAAGAGTCTTAAAGGTATTAAAACATCAGATCTTCTGGGAAGGGGGCATGGGATGGTAGAGTAAATTAGCAAAGTCAATCAGCGTCATAGAAGAGAACTGAAGCACAAACTTATCTTTTTATACCCCAAGGTTTTGAGCACTATAGCAGCTGGCAAAAAAGAATAAACTGTAACTTTATAGCGGGACCATAAATTGCCATAGCATGTATTACATTCATCCCTTTCTTAAAAACACTGTTGTTTATTAATAAATAGAAAAAGAGGGTCTGTCAAGAGTTCACATGAAGGTACCCTGTCAGCACAAATGAACCTAAATCTACATGTGATCCTATAATGAGAAAAGGCAGTAGTGGCATTATGCCTACATGGGAGTACAGACTGCAAAACATTAAAAAGTCGTCCCACTGATCTGAGGACATCAAGTACTAAATAAAAGTACTACTGCCCATCTCAGTCAATTTTCTCAAGAAAATATGAAAACACTGAAGAGTGTCCATAGGAAAGCACTGAAATCTAGCAAACATGAAAACATTCAAGGAAACTACTAGTCCTGTTTAGCCAAGGAAAATGGATGGCAAACAGAGGGGGGAAAAAAAGAAGGAATAATGAAGCATTGAACTATAATGGTAACTTAAAGAACTTTGTTCATTGAGTGGTCTTTGAACAGACAAGACGAACGAACTGTCAAGATTAACAACCATAAACTGTACCCCTTGTTCAAGGGGATGGCTTATCCCAAGAGTTTTAAATATGTATATCCCAACAAGACACCTTGACAAAGCAGAGCTGTAATAAGAGAGAAGGGGGTCAAATTTATGATGTACATGCTTGCAAGATTTATCATTCTCCTCTTTTTCTAGCTATGAGAAGCTTGCAATCTCTTACGCAATACTCCTCAGTGTTGAAGAACTGTGCATGAACCCCATTTCCCCGCAGGCCTTTGCTTGGCTATTATCAGAGTCAGTGTCTGCTTCTCATTAGGCAGCCAGTTAAACACAGCAGACAGAAGAGCAAACAATCACTGCCTCGTTTCTCCCTGCAGTCCTTGTCTCTATTCGTGAAACCATGCACAGGACCAGGAGGTGGCTGCAATCAGCAGTAGAAAAAATACCATCACCCTCAGTCAAGCAGAAAGAAAGCACTGAATAGTAAGTGGTAATTTAGCATCTGACATTTCCAGCAAAAGTGTAATTCTAAACATGAGAAAAGGTGACAGTCTGATGATGCTCAGTAATTCTAAGTTAGTAAGAGCAGCAGGAAACTTGAATTCCTGCTACCAGCATGAAACAGAAGACTGAATCTTTTAACAGTTAAAAAAACCTTAGAATAGAACAAAGCAACATGATCCACATTATGTTTAGACAAACATTTGACTGACTCCAATTAATATTAACAAAAGATATCAAGGTTTGCATTATAAAATACTTCAACTAATCTTTACTCAAGTGAGAAATAAATATGTTTATTTGTGGAAATACCACCTTTGAGAAACCAAAGCTAGCAGTACTGAAGAACATAGTAAACCTCGTAAAGACCATTGCAAATACAGCTGCCACTGTTAAAATGAAAGCACATAAATAATTTCTGTATTTTATTTTGTTTATCCTGGGTTTGCATGGCTAGGTTTTGAGATTTGGGGGGCTACAAAGGCAGCACCTCTGAGAAGCTGCTAGAACCTTCCCTCCAGTGTCAGCTAGCACCCAAGATGGACCCAAAGTGGCTGAAGCTAAGATGGTCAGTGATGGCAGTAGCACCTCTGGAATAACATAAAAAGGAGAAAAAAAATGTCATTGAGAAGAAGTAAGTTGTGAGTAGAGACAGAGTGATGAAGAAGGAGGAGCAGAAACAAGGTATGATGAACTGACTGTAATTCCTACTCTGGTCCACCGGTACAGCTGGGGGAAGGAGGGAGAAAATGTGAGTGCAGTTAAGCCAAGGAAAGAAAAAACAGTTAGGAAATATGTAGGTTTTACTTCTCATTATCCTACTCTGATTTGATTGGTAATAAATTCAACCAATTTCCCTGTGGGATTCACATTCTCTGAACCTGAGAGAAGCAGTGAGAGAAGCAGAGAAAAGAATGATCAATTCTTATCTCATTTGCTTCTCCTGTGTTGTGCCAAAGTAGAATGCAATATGGAGACTGTTTACCTAAAGTGATGGTGTTTTGTTTCCTTGGCCTGTCAGGGCCAAGCGCGTGTCCAGACTGTTGATCAGGAGACAGTCACAAAATTCAGTGGAGTTGGCTGCTTGCGCAGTTTTGGTTCAGATGTAGTGTAATATAGTATAGAATAACATAGTATAATAAAGTAATTAATTCACCTTCTGATATCATGAAGTCAGATGCATCATTCTTCCCTGCGTCAGGGAACCCTTCATAATCCGATATTTCCCCAAGTTCAGTCTGTTTTGCCCATGACAGCAATCACTGAGTGATCCCTCCCTGTCCTTAATTCATTACCCTCTCCTTATGTTTTCTCTAACCAATCAAGGAGGGGAGTGCCAGGGCTTTGGAGGGGAGCCCAGTGTCCAGCCAGGATCAACCCACCACGCTACCATCCCACTAAAAGCTGAAAGCCCATACAAATCACAGACCTACTGCTAAGCTGCTTCTCCTGCATGAAGCAGCTGTAGCAACAACAAAACAAAAAAGAAACAAGTTTGATTAAGTACTTGACACAAACAGTACTGCTGCATAGAAAATATTCTTTAAAATATCCAAAAGCATTTGTAGTAATGCTTTACTTCATGCTGTAATTAAGTCTAGAAGCAGAGACAATTAAGGAGTACAGGTACTGCAAACTGACTTCTCAGAAAACAGTGAGGCCACCAGGATGAGAAGAGAGACCCAAATCGTTGAAGAAGTCCCAGCCTGCATAAGAGTAGCCATGTAAGTTACATAAGCGGTATGTGTTCAAAAACAAGGTCTTGCCAGTTTTGTTATCTACAGTAGCTCTAAAAGTTCCAGCTATAAAAGGATTCTGAATAATGCCATGTAAAACAACAGCTCATCTTCAGAGCTTGCAATTGCTAAAAGATGATATATTGAATTACAAAAGATGACATATTGAATTACACTAAATTGAATTTACAAACAAGGACTATACACATCCCAGGTGGTGGCACATCACCTTTATATTAAGTGATTAGCTGAGCTACTGATTAAAATACTACACTGGTACATAAAACAGTTCTACTCACTTTGATGACTTCACCACCCTTTAATTCAGTATTGCTCTCTAGACACACACTGATATTGTGGCTTAAATTTTCTAGTTCCCAAGGATGTATAAATACAGCTGAAAGCTAAAACCATTCCTACCCACAAGCCTGTTCATTTAACTCCCGCTTATGACAGATAATTTGGATGGCAATGGTTCTACTACTTAGCACATTTAATTCCTGAGGATTGTACTCAAACATCCTTCATATCGACCATTCAGTTTGCTCCCCCCTCAACTGTCTAATCCCTCTTCCAAACACCAGAATATCCTTCAGCACAGTACAGGAAAAAAAAATGTAATAGCTTTTTATAGAATCATTTTACATTATTTTCCCTGTTGGCAAAAGGCAGGGGTAGAGGAAGCAGAGTTTTGGAAAAGGAGCTCCCTCTCTCTCATCTCACCCTCTTTCAGCTCAAATTGCTAATGCAGACGTCAGTTTTTCCTGGTTCACCCTTTCATGTCATTGTTAAGATTAGTGGTTTTATCTTTCCCTTCAATGGCTGCAAGAGACTCTCTGAGCCTTCAGGCTACATCCCATTTAAGGATACCTGATCTTCCCCACTGACAGCCTTATCATACCTTCCAGACAGAGTAAATTCTTCAACCACAAGCTCCTGCTTTGAAATAAAACTGTTCACACAGTCTCATTAAAGACCCGTAAATGCCTTCACTGCCTCAATCTTCAACAGCAAGACTGGCTGCTCTCCAGGCACCCAGTCCACTGAACTGGAAGATAGGGACAGGGAGAAGAATGAAGTCCTCCATAATCTACTGGGGAACAGTCAGTGACCCACCACACCACTTAAGACCCACACAAGCCTACAGGGCAAAATGAGATCCATGGATCCTGAGGGAGCTCGTGGAAGTGCTCACCAAGCCACTTTCCATCATTTACAAGCAGTCCTAGCTGCTAACGGGCATTTCCAGTTGACTGAATGCCACAACATGTGATGTTGATCTACACAAAAGGCTTGAAGGAATATCCAGGGAACTACAATCCTGTCATCAGACCTTGGTCCTGGATAAGGGTATGGAGCAGATCCTCTGAAGTGTTATTACATATAGGACAACCAGGAGTAAGGCCCAGCCAGCACAGGTTTGTGAAAGGCAGGTCCTGCTTGATTAACCTGGTCTCCTCCCATGACCAGGCAACCTGTGTGGTGGAATGAGTGAAAGGCTGTGAATTTTGTCTGCCACAGTTTGCTTTGACACAAAAAGCAAACTTTTTCTGGAGAAACTGTCTGCTCATGGCTTGCATCATGGTACTCCAGGGCAGTGACCATTCCCCTATACTGGGCACTGGTGAAGCCACACCTCAATCCTGTGGTCAGTTTTGGATCCCTCATTACAACAAAAACCCTGAGATGCTGGTGTAT